TCCTTAGGAAGTCATTAGTAATTAAAAGGTTTATACACATCAACTGGAAACAGCCTAAATATCCAACAATAATATAGGGACTGGTTATGAAATTATAATTATGATTATATTTATACCATAAATGAATTATGGTATATCCATAGCACAGAATAATGTAGTCAATGAAAATACTTTTGAATAAGTTTAATGACATGGAAAATGTTGAGATTATATCATTAAATGGCAAAAGAAATTTCTCTCTGTTAGTTCTAGAGACTGGAAGTCTAAGATCAGGGTGCCAGCAAACAGACCTGGTGTCTGGTGAAGTCATCCTTCCTGCTTCACAGACAGCCATCTTTTACTGTGTCCTCATGATGGAAGGGGTGGGGGAGCTCTCTGGAGCCTGTTTTTTCATAAAGGCACTAATCCCACACATGCATGAAGATTCCACCCTCATGACCTAGTTACCTCCCAAAGTTGCCACCTCCTACCATCATCACCTTGACACTCGCAACTTATGACTAAAGATGGCCATCTATGGATTTTGAGGGTACATAAAGATTCATTTCATTGCATACTCCAGTCTTCTAAAATGAAGATATCAGTGTTTTCATTATTAAGGTATATTATGGGAATATCCTTCAATTATGAAACTCACCTGGCATCCCACTTTTTCCTTACATTCACTCATACCTACCCTTTCCCCTCTAACCATCAAGAATACAGTCCCATTCATTTTTCTCTCTCTCCTCTCTTCTCTTCTCCTCTGTGGTCTCACCCAAGGCTATTGACAAGACCAAGATATTAAGCAAACCCATAAGAAAAACTAACCCACTGGCCAGACAATCCCTCTGATACAACTGAGACCTGTTGTTCTTTGAGGGTTTGGGGGCAACAAGTCATTGTTTGACACCTCTGGTGTCAGCCTCTGAAGAATGACAGTTCTCAGGTAGCTTAGCGCTTGGAAAACCAACCTCACATGAATGAGTTGCTCATTTCTCACCCAGCCATCACAAGAGGTGTCAGGTCTACTCTTCATTGTTCAGCTGCTAAGTCGTGTCTGACTCTTTGCGACCCCATGGACTACAACACACCAGGCTTCCCTGTCCTTCACTATCTCCCAGAGTTTGCTCAAACTCATGTTCACTGAGTCAGTGATACCATCCAACCATCTCATCCTTTGGCTCTGGGATCTAGCTAAAAAAGTTCTAAGGAAAGAGAGCAATTGCTTTCTCTGGGGAATATTCTTTATTGGTTATTCTGAAATAGTATAGCTTTTTGGAGCACAAATGATAACAGCCCAAATGATTCCTTTAACTCAACCCATAATTTAAAAATATAAGAAACAAAACCATTAGCTAGGATATTTGTATGTATGAAAAATATTCTTTATTCTTAGATGACTTATTACTACCTTCAAAAAAATAACATTTAGCCTGCCTTAAAGTTTCAAGAGATAACAATTAGTAAACTTCAAATATTATAGCACTCCTATAGGAGGAATCAGATGACTGTGAACATGCAAGTAACCTTGGATTACAAAGGCCATCAACTTCACTGCACAAAAGAGAAAATAAGGGAGACAGAAATTAGGTGGCCACCCCAGTGTGAGGTAAGTTTGACTAGAATGCAAATGTTCTGATTCTCAATAAGTATTTTCTGTGTCTCTCTCCTAAACCCACAAAGAAGAAAATGTATTAGCATTATCTTTTATAACAGTAACACAAAAATGTCTTTATTCCTAAACAGAAATTCAGCAAAACTTTAATCCCACATTTATGAATACCATAGTAGCACATATTTTTTAAAAATGAGTTTAGAATAAGCATTTATTATAATTCCAGAGAATGGCTTATGGAGCCTAAACAAGTATTAAATCAAGAAAATTCATCAAATAAATGATGCTATGTTATTAAATAATATTTTGTTCCTTGTCAACAAGCCAACAACACAATATGACAGAATACACTACAATTTTCATTCTACAAGAAACTTCTAGGTTTTTTCTGTAAACAACAGATATCTCACTCAGGTAAGCAGGTAATATCTAAGGCTATGCTAGAAACCACCAAGTTTTGGGTCATTCACAGACTCAGCCAGAAGTCACTGAATTTAGACTGCTCCATTTTTAACCAACCATACCGGGTATTCACGCTGTTATCCATATGGTGCTATAACATGGCATTGTTCTGGCCACTAGTGCCTTCACTGCCAACAACCCAACAGGAGGGTGAAATTTAAAAAGATAGGACTGTTCAGTTGGGCAAAGGCCAATTCAATTCATTCTTTAGTGTTTCTCTTTATAGAGAGAAATAAATAAGACTGAGGAGAATGAATTCAAATTCACAATTTTAGTCTCAACCAGGGTATTGAAGACTCCCATTTAATAGAAATCAAGGTCTTGGATAATTAGTTATGTCATAGATATGTTCTCAGCTTCAAAATAAATGACAAAAGCATAAAAGGAAGAGAATCCTAGGGGAATTATTTTCTATTACAAATCATTTTATAAAAAGATTTCCAACCACCTTCTTTAAATCATGTTATATATGACAGAAAACTGCAAAAGAAAAAGAAACAAGCCCAGTGTGTTGGAAGGGTGCCAAAAGTGAGCTGTGATAATGCCAACAGTATTGGCCAGTTCAGTTATACTGATTCAGGTCCTTGATGGGTGCTGAAAAGCAGGCCACAGGTGGGACGCCAAAATGTGTCACTTAGGTTTGAGAAGAGGAGAAACATGCAGTACTTGAAATTCTGGATACAGCTGTACCCTTGAATTATCAGAAAAGAGAGAGACTCCCAAATGGTTAAAGACAGACTTGTCACTACTATAGGAAAAAGCAAAGTAGACACCATTCCAAAAGTCAGTAGCATCTTGTGGTATAAGGGCCATCCTAGATTATTATATTGAGTATTAATCACAGACTTTCACTTTTCATATAGGCTATTAAATCACTTCTATTTGGATCAAGGGGATACAAGAAACTCACCAAGTCTCTACATATCAATATGAGGACAACTGCTGTGACTAACAGTTGAAGGCAGCTGACCCCCTTGTGTAAACTGTAAGTCATGGGATTGTCCAAAGGAATAAAAAGATGTTCAGGAAGAGGAAAAATGAAATTCCAGTTTCAACTATGAAATTAACTTTTATTTAAAAAAAAAAAAAAAGGCAGAAAAAGGCAAAGTACAAAGCTCTCTTCATTCTCTAACAAATGTATTTCTTTCAACCAAACGAACAGCCTGGAATCAGCTTTCTGCACACAGGTCAATAGCTGACATGCTTGTTTTTCAAAACATAAGACTATACATCTCTTTCAAATGCATTAGCCAGCTAAAAGTGAGCATGGCCAGGATTTATCAGCCAGGATTGATCAGACGTCATTCGGCAGCTGTATGGAGTCCCTACTATTTGTGGTCACAAGAGCAACTGGCTGCTTCCCACAGGCTCTTTTTAGAGAGACTGAAAGTTCAGATATAAGTTCCCATTTTCTGTAAGCAAACATCTGCTCTACAAGCAACTTGAACCCTGCAAACACACCCACTTTCTCACTGTAAGTCTCAGCACAGGATAGGATCAAAGAGGGCATCCATGCTAGAGTCCAATCATTTGAAACAGGTCTTTAAGTCTGTTCCTTTGTGCATGTTAATCTCTGCAGGTGAAATAGCTGATTTAGTTCTCAAGCAACAATAATGTCCATTGAAAAATACACCTTCCTGAAACAAAAGATACTGTTCCCATGAAGTACTCTGTTGCCATTTCCAGCAACAAATGACACAAAAGAGAAATTCTGCCATTTGTGCCACTCAAGAGTGGCTTAGGACAAATAGAAATACACACAAAAAAAAACCACACACACACAAAAAAACAGAGCAAAAGCTTAAGAAACAAGACCAAGATGAGTTGGGGGCAGGAGAGGAGAGGTGAAGTCTAAAAGAGAGGTGGAGTCTACACTCAGTGATCTGAGTTCAGCCTCACTGATGAATGGAGGGCGGAGGGAGGGAGAGGAAGGGTAGGTAACGTTTTCAGTTGAGAAAAAGAAGCGTGTGCTGCTTGCTGTCCCGGTTTTGTTTCAATAGCACCCCGGAGAATGCATGGCAGGCAAAATCTAATTTGGTAACTAAGATTGATTCAATAAGTAACACAAGTTTGTTTATGACACAAAGGAGTTATCCAAAATATGGCAATTCTTTAAAACTATCTGTGTTCTGGTATCAAATTAAAGTTTACGGTTATTCATAGGAAACATCTATCGATTTAATAACACCCTTTTGCAGGCTGTGCACCCGTCCCGTCCTCTTTTAAAGAAATCGCTAATGGCCCAGAGTCCTGGAAACCTACAAACTATTGTCGCCTATTTCCCAACACTGTGGTCTGATACTCAGTGTCCCTGGTGGAAACCAAACAGCTGCCAGAAGCCAGAGTCCCTGGAGAAATTTCCGAAGCCCAGTCCTGGCAATCCGTGGGCCAGGGTGAAAGCATTTGGAAGCGTGCGCGGTTCCTCCGCCCTCCGGACCGTGCGTCTGCACCGTTTCTGGCTGTCAGGTGAGTGGCGACAAGGCTCGGCGGGGAAGCCTCTCCCGGCAGCGCGCCGTGATCACCCGGCAAAGAGGGACAATCCCGGCGGAGTGCAGCTTGTTCCGCGGCCGGCCGTTGCTCACCTTTGTTCGCCCGCCCTCTCCGGTAGGAGGACAGCGCGGATCCAGGAGGAGTGCGGGGGGGCTACCCCAATGCTCCCCGGGCCCTCTCCAGCGCCCCGAAGGAAATTCGGAGGCCAGCCAGACCCAGACCCTCTCCGGCTCCCAGAACCTCAACCGTGCTGAGGGGTCAGCAACCCCTTCCAGAACACAAAGGTTGGGAGGCGTGAGCGCTAGCGCTGGGGGCGCGGGTGCGTGCGCCAGAGAGCACGCGAGTGTGCGTGTGCGCGCAAGGATGTGCGGCTGTGTGTGTGTGTGTATGTGTGTGCGCGCGCGAGGGTGTGCGGGTGTGTTGGGGGGAGGAGCGCTCCAGCTCTCCTTACCTCTCGAAGATGAGCCGTACCATTAACATGCAGAAGGCCAAGGGGAAGGCGAGATAGAGGTCCTCCGCCTGCGGGAAGGTGGCTTCCTCCGTGTTCTTCAGGTCCGCCCAGGTGACATTGTGCGGGAGCCAAAACCTCTCGTTCCAGAACCAGGCTAAGATCCCTGCCATCTTGCTTTGTCCACTCTCGTCCTGGGCTCCCGCGGCCCGCCGAGCTCTCCACCGCGCAGGGCGCCAGGGGATGCGCGCGCTGCTGGTCCGAGCCTGTGCCGCTGCCGCCGCCGCCTCCTCCGCGGCCGCCGCTCTCGAAGGCTCGCGGCGAGCTCCGGTTCTCTCCTCCCTCTGGCCGCGTTGGGGAAAGGAGCCGCCTCGCCTGTCACATGGCAGCCCGGGCCGCTGGCCCTGATTGGCTCGTCCTCGCGTCAAGCAGCGAGGCACACGCGGCCGGCTAGCCCACGCCCGGAGGGCAGGGCGCAGCCGCTGCGCCCTGGGCGCAGGAGCACCGCTCCTGGGAGAGCCGACTGGCCCTGCGGTCACCGAGCTCTGGAGCGGCGCTTAGGGTAGCGACCTGGGTCGGGCTTCCCGATTCCGCTCCGGTCCCCCGGGCTTGCTCGCACATGCTCAGAACACCGGCTCCGGCCCGACTGGAGTTTCAGGGATCTCAGTCGGCTTCCAGTGCGCCTACAGGCGATGGGTGGGGGGCAGGTAGTGGCCGGGGTGGATATTCAGAACCATCCTTGCGCCAAGAGAGAACAGCAAAAGGAGAAGTGGGGGCGCAGAGCGCAAAGGAGGAAGAAGTAGAGAGGAAAGTCACCCACTCCNGGGGGGGGGGGGGGGTAGGAACTAGGGCAGGATGGTTTGGCAAGAGTCGTCTGCCTCTACCTAACTCCCGTCTTTCCCCATACCAGACCTTCCAGCCTGGTTTTACTCCCGCTCTTCACCACAACCAGCTCCCCCAGGGAACAAGGCCCTCTGTTTCAATTTATGACGCTGTGGGAGAAATCAGGCACTTAATTGCTGTTTGACAATGATGGGATGATGTTGATGATGATGACAACCGCAGCATTCTGTAAAACCAGCCCACAAAATGAATCTCTCAGAAAATGGCGCCAGACCATTTTTAGTTGGTACATCAGTAGAGAATCTCCACTCTGCTACTCCTTGCTTCTGCCTTTTGAATCGGAAACCTTTAAGGTGTTAAGACCCGTGAGACCGGACCCCAGGCACCTTGACTTCCACGATACATTTCCTCATTGCTACGGGAGCCACGTGTGGATCATCAGTTCAGTGGTGCATGCAGACCTGGTTCCCTGGAATATTTTTGTGGAGTTTTCTCACAAATATTCATTTCCTACTTGGTTCTGCTAGTAAGTTCTACTGGTTCTTTCCGAGAGGCAAATAAACAGACTCTCTTAATACACGTTTCTTTACTCTCCCTCCCCCTCCAGCTGCCACGCTCTTACTCCTTCCTTTTAAAGCCCATCTCTAAAGGCCTGTATCTATTGCTTCCACTCTTTCCCCTCCATTCTCTTTTGAACTTTCCCTGGAGCAGTTGCACCTCTCTTCTCAAGGTCACCAGTGGTCTCCATGCTGCTAAACCCAAAGGTCAGTTCTCAACACCGTATGGGGAACCTTTGGCCAAGTTCATTAGTTGCTGCCTTTGGAGACACTTTCTTGTCTTGTTTTCCAGAAACCACATTCTTTCTGGTTTTCCTCCTACCGCCTGGGCACTTTTGCTGAATCTCCTTTCTGGTTTACTCCTCACCTTTCAACTCCTTAAAGTTGGTGTGGCCTGGGAAGCAGTCTTTTTCCCTCTTCACTTTTCTGTGTTCATTCGCTTGGTGATCTTATCCAGTGCCCTAGATTTCAGTGCCATCTATGTGGCTTTCAGTGATGTAGTGATGGCTGCAAAATATCTATTTCTAGCATGAACTTTTCCTTGAACTTCAGACTCCTAAAGCTACTATCAAGTCAACTACTCCACTTGGATGTCTAAGAGCCATTTCCTGTCCAGACTACTAACCTTCCCCGTAAGTTTTTCCCCTCCTGCTTTCTTGGCTCAGGCTAAAACCCTGGAGTCATCTTATCCTTTTCTCTCTCTTATCTCCTTTATAACTCCTTACATATCCTGTCAGCTCTTTTTTTTTCTAATTGATTTATTTATTTGGCTGTGTAGGGCCTTATTGCAGCACACAGGATCTACGATCTTCACTACAGCATGTAGCATCTTTAGTTGTGGCATGCGAGCTCATAGTTGTGGCATGCAGGATCTGGTTCCCTGACCAGGGGTTGAAATACAGGGCCCCCTGCATTGGGAGCATGGAGTCTTAGCAGCTTGACCACCAGGGAAGTCCCAGGTCCACCTTTAAACTATCTAAAGAATCACACTGTCTCTCACCACCTCTTGTTGGTTCAAAGAACCAACTACCATCTTGGTTCAGGCAACCAACAGTTCTCTTCTGAGTTACTGTAGTAGCCTCTTAAGCCCCAGTGTCAACACTTATATACTTCTCCAGTCTATTCTCAGCCCGTGTGATCCAGTTGAACCAGTAGGATAATTGAATCTGTGCTGAAAGCCATACTGCTTCCCCATTTCTCCCCCGTTAGAAGCCAAAGTCATTTCAGTGACCAAAGAAATGCGTCTGCATGTTACCTTTCTGACCTCGCTTGCCCTCCCTTCTTTGTGAACGAAGAACAGCATGCCTTGTTCACACTGGCCTCCCTGCCCTACCTGCAGAGCATTTAGCAGGACTTTGAGCCTTCGTAATTGCTTTTCTCTGTCCCTGGACCTCTTCCTGCCAACTACCCATGCCCACTCTTTCTGTAATACCACTCATGTAGTGAAGAGTTCCCTGGCCACCCTAGTTTAAATCTGTAATTCTCACTCCCCACCCCTTCTCTTCTTAGTCAACTTTCTTAGTTTGTTTTCTCCTGAAGCATTTATCACCATCTAACACAATATATGTTTTACTGTTTTTTATTGGTCTCCTGACACACACACTAAATTGTAAACTTTTGAAAGAAAGATGTCTGTTTATTGCTGTTTTATCCCTAGCACTTAAAATAATGCCCAGCACACAGCAGCTACTCAATAAACTATTGAATTAATGAATAAACGCTAACCTCACAAAAATCTTCTCTAAGAGAGGGGAAAAGGTGAATAAAAAATAGTGTTAAATTTTACATACTCATGTGAAGACTAATGTGGGCATTAAAAGGGTTTATCAGTTCTAAGATTGGGTCGGGGTGGTATTCTTGAGGTGGGTATTCATCAGGGAGTAGGTAGGTCCCCATTTGAGACCATGCAGTGAGCTGTTCATTATTACTGGTGACCTTCCAAAAAGATGCCTTTGCACCAGATGCATTCTTGTAGGCCACAGAGACGAGGTCTGTTAAGGTCTCTTGCCACCTTTGTTGGATAAAGTCATGTCAGGGTGGATCCTGACCTTCTAGGCCGAAGAAGACCCCCTCTCTGGCTGCCGCTGGCCCCTTGTATCACCGTCACGTATGACTTGATAGGACCTTGCCTTCTCTGCTGCCCCGAAAGACCCGTTGTGTCCCACACATATACAAGTGGAAACATTGGTGACTTAACACCCTGGGGCCTGAAATTTGACCCTGGGCAAAGGAAGCCAGAGGATAAATTTTCATTCTTTTCCCTCTCCTGCTCCCGGAACATACATGGTAACTTCAAACAGGCTCTCAGGAAATGCCCTGTGATACAGAGCATTCAGCTTATTTCAAAATTGTATCTAGCTCAGGAATTGCCTTACATTTCCTCTCTTTCTCCATCTTAGTCCCCTTTTCTTTCATTCCTGTGGTAGGTGAAAGTGAACAGTTGTGTCTGACTCTCTGCAGACAGAGAGCCTGTCTGGACTCCTGCCTGTCTGGACTGTAGCCTGCCAGGCTCCTCTGGCCATGGGATTTTCCAGGCAAGAACTCTGGAGTGGATTGCCATTTCCTTCTCCAGGGGGTCTTCCTGACCCAAGGATCGAACCTGAATCTCCCACATTGCAGGCAGACTCTTTACCATCTGAGCCACTGGAGAATCCCAAATCTTTCAACCCTGCTTCCCTGAAATTTTACCTCCTTGGAAATGCTGTTTTTTCTAAAGAAGGCAAACTAAGATCATGTTGCTCTCCTATTCATCAACTCTGAGAAGGTGGTGAGATTTCAGGAACACTTTGAAAGATAGCTTTTGTTGGACACTGGAAAGAGAACTCACTACTTATCTGTGTATCTTGCACAAGTTGCTTAGTTTCTAAGAGCATGTTAACACCCTCCTGCGTAAGTTGTTACCAATAGTACCTGTCTTGCCTATGTCACCAGACGATCCTGAGGTTCACATGAAATAATACATAGGAAAAGGCTCATAAACTCTTAATGCCCTCTGTGCACATGCAGAGTTTAATGAACCTCTGCCCCTTTACCTGTCCAGCATATTCCATACAGGCAATGGCTCCTTCCTATCACCCTTCATCCAAATGATTACCCCAGAAATAGTACAATAGAGCAAAATATCATTCCATGTCTTACCACAATTTATTGGTCCAGGAATGGACCCTTGTACCAAGATAGCAATTAAAATCCTTCTTCAGGTGTTGGGGCATGGGTCAAGCCATTCTTTCTCTGGTCACTTGGACTCTAGAGTTTCAAACTCAGAAGCTGTTGACCCATGCTTCATCATAAGGATAGAAAATGGAGAAGCTCAGTTCAGGCCCTGGGAAAGGTTGGTCCTACGAAAGACACAGCCCAGCATACCTCCCAAGTAGGTCACTTTTTATTTACCTGTGCAGAAAAGAATCCTAATTTGTTGTCCCAGGAAACCAAAGTACAATTTATTTATTGTACAAGTTTGTAACTCAGTAAGAAAACCAATTGGTAGCTTGTAAATAGAGAGAAAAAGTGAAAAAAGTTTTCTGTTGGGAGTCAGGGCAGAGAGGGTGATACTGTCTACACTGCATATAAGGAAAGCATACTTTAGCTCCTGAATATGAATATCAACAAAGTTAAGCATTATTTCTAACTTCAAGGCACATGTGCAGGTATTAATCCTCTGCATACATTTGAGTCTAGTTTTTTTTTTTTTGTAAACATGTATTTATTTATTTGGCTGTACCAGGTCTTAGTTGTGTCATGTGGGACCTTTGTTCTTGGCGCATGGACACCAGAGGGTACAGGCTTCAGTGCTTGCTGCACGCTGGCTTAGTTGCTCCACAGCACATGGGATTTTAGTTCCTTGATCAGGGATTGAACCCACATTCCCAGCATTGCAAGGTAGATTCTTAATCACTGGACCTTGAGTCTACTTTTTTGATACAAGAATAAGTTGAATTTCCACTAT